ATCGTTAAACTATTGTATAACTTTCGTTTAATATCGGCTTTCCGATATTTCACCGGTATAGATTTATTCGACCTGTGAAAGTCTCATTAATTTCAAATCATTGGCTAAGAACTACTTTTTGGTAGTATTACAACCCTATTTGTTGCCAATTTTATCTAATCCCTCTTGGCTCTTTTTCTCTATTTTACTTTACTATTCTCACTCATCTGATACAGTACTTTTATGCAGATATTCAAGTTCAAATCAGGTTAGACCAGACTTTTAAAAACTAGTTCTAAACTGGTCTAAACCCGTCCAATAATCATATAACAAATCAAATACTGATTTTTGCTTTAAACTTTATTAATTGGGCCATAGAAAGTTTTAAATTACGGGCTTGGGTTACTAATGCTAATTTTGGACAAATTTTAAAAACCGGTTCAGAACCAGAATGAATAATATATACTGCATTCATCATTAAATATAACACGCAGCATTTTACAATATATGATATATACGTATGTACGTACGTACTTATTAAGTATATAACATATGTACAGCATTTATATGAATAATATACAGCACTTTAACGATATACAGCACTTATATAATATATAGCATCAATACGGTATACAGCACCCAATATGTCATACAGTACCCAATACATCATATGGCATCTAATACTGCATACGTCATCTAATACTACATACATTATCTAATATGGTATACGTTATCTAATATGGCATATGTTATCTAATATGGTATATATCATCTAATATGGTATATGGTACATTTATTTATACGGCAAATGTGCCGTATTGCTATCATATTTTTAGTAAGGTAGCTACCTTGGTATTTTTAAATATCTGTATTTCTAGTTGCAATACAATAGATGAAATCTGAAATAAAGCTAATAGAATACCTCAGCTTAAAGTAGAATAATTGAAAGTTTGCAATCCACTAAATCCATTATGCATGATATTTTTGAATGATTGCAACTTAAGGAAGAAAATTTTTCTGTATTTGAAGCAGCAACAGATCAAGACATAGAACGGTTGTGGGAATTAGTACTTGAAGTAGATGATTTATTGATACCCAAAGATACATCTAAGAAACACATTGAAAATAAGGTCAGTTTCGAAAATTTGTAACTTATACAGTCAGACCTTCTAGATGCACCCTTTTTAAATATACAGGGTGCACTAATTTCTTCTACCACTTTTAGAGAACTATAAAATTTATTAATAATGCAGATACTCTGATATGTGATTAACTAGTAGAACCAATCAGAAGTAGTAGGAGAAATTAGTAAATTCAAATGCAGGCTCTATGAAAAGCCCAATTGCACGTCTTTACTTGGCCTAACCAATATAATACTTATATATTTTTACCTCTCTAAATTCTTATTTACTTACAAATATATATATATATGTAGCCCCGTATTCTTGAGTTCATGAATCATTGCTGTTATTTGAGAACGTATTTTTTTGAAATTTAAAAATACCAAGAAGCTAAAACACGTTGTACAATTTGTAGACTGCCACGAAGTGAACCTGATATATTTTCAAAGTTGTGACCCTTTCCCGATCTTATTCTTAAAGCAAATGAAGACTATTATATGCTATTCTGTAAAATATATAGTAAGGATACCAGTGAAAAATACCACCCATCATTGCTTTAAAAAGTCAATGTTTCTACATCACCAACTACTATAACTATTGATGGTCTTGGTATTAATGAAATGGGTTTTAGTTCTCGAGTACAATATGCAAAAAATATTTGCGCCTTGGTCAAATATATTGAATGTAACCATTTACGAGTTCTCTATTCACAATATCATTTAAACCCAGAGAAGGAAAATTTTCTTAAAAATTTTTTGGAAACAATTGATTATACATGTGGCACAACATTTTATGAAATTTCAGATCTCACAAAAGCTAGTTTATTCTTATTTAGAAATGATAATAACTGCAATATAAATAATGATAAAGTTGAGCTTCAAGATGTAGATAATGATATAAATAGTGATGTTAACTACGATGACGATAATATGGAAGATGGTGAAAAGTCTGTTGATGCAAAGTTTGCTGATGAAAGTTCTGTTGATGAATCATTTACAGAACTACAAAATACAAAGAATGGTTTATCTTTAGAGACATTGTTCAAACGGGTATTTGTTAATGCCAAGCTTACCTGTGTGATACTAATGGAAATTCTATACTTTTCTTCTCATCTTTATCTAGACGTTTGCTTCCAGTATGGTGATACAGAAATCTTTTCTCCAACTTCTGCTGGTGAACAACCATATTGCTCTGAATACTATACTACAATCAAAACTAAAAAAAAAAAGGCAAAGGTATTAAGTTTAAGGCTAAGAAAAAAAGCAGTTAAAAAAAGGGTTATGGTATGAACAAAGGCTCTTGTAAATATATTACCTGTGCAATCTTAAAAAAATTGGTTATATAATGATATGTACTATAACTAGTTCAAATATTAACAATGTGATTAAAATATTTACACAACCCAGAAACAGAAAAGATACTATCAAAAAAAGCTGCGTAAAGTTTTTGCAAATAATTCTTAGCCTAATGGCTTGGAATAAATTTGAATATGATAGTCAATTTGAGTATTTCATACGTAGTAATGTTTTAGTTCACTTCAATACGGTGCAGTGACTTAGAGTCAATATAAATGATATTTGAGTTAGTTTAAAAAAAAAAAAATTACAACCCAGATTTTGCTTCTAAATTCACTCAAAAAAATGTTCTTTTTATCTATATGAGTTGTGTGAATTCTATACAAAGTTATAACTTTCACCCTTACACAGTGTTATTAATTTAAAAACTTGAAACACCCTGGCCCTACATCTTCTATGATTACATGTAAAAAAGGTTATTGCTAATACACCAATAAGACAAGAAAGTAGAATCAACAAATATCGATTTAGTAAACATTCGAATTATCATTATACTGTATATACATAATATCGATATTCTATTTGATATACTGTATACCAAGAACATGGGAAAATTCATATATGAATAAAACAGAATTTTTGTATAAAATGGTATTTTGATAGCAATGAATTTTTAGGCAAAATTGAGAGCAGTGTATATTTAATTTGGGCCGGAAAAGTTCAAAAAATATCAAGAAATATAAAATATGGGCGAGTTAGTTGGAAGATTGATCTGAAAAATGTGCATTATAGAGATTATCATACATAATAATAATTACTCTTAATGCAAAATACTATATTTTATTGCGATGTTAAAACAAGAAAAAGAAGCATTTGCAGAGAATTGACTGTATAGATAACATATTACAAAACTGTATATATGTTATTATAAAAAACATTTTAACTTTTATAAAAAGTAACCTGGCCAGGTGACAAGAATCAATTTTATTTATGTATATGGCCTAATCTTGATTAGTTAATTATAAAGTTGCTATAGTAATAAGTTGCTATAAAATAATATCTTTTTTTAAATTATTGTTGCAGATTAAAATAAAATTAAATTAAAATGAAATTGGAAACTTCTCTTGCTCACTCTTAAAGCTTATAAAACTTATATATACTCTTTTATTAATAATCTTAACTCTAAATCTAACTTTTAATGCTAAAAAACTCCAAAAAATATTCTCTAAAAGATTTTAAACTTTTTAAAAATTAAAAAAATTTTATTTAAATCTAATTTTATTTTAATTTGTCACAATTATTATACAGTCAGACCTCCCTAAATACAACCTCCATAAATGTAATACTTCTCTAAATGCACATTTTTGTCTTGGCTGTATGAAATCATTAGTGCTAAATGCATGTTCTATATTCTGCAAATGCACATTCACTCAAAAGATTTTTTATATCATACTAATCTCCCTAAGTGCACGTAGCCAATCAGAAGTCAGTATTTAAGTTTGTTATACAAGTCTGCAGATCAAATATTAAAAGCTGCAATTTGATTGGCCTCCTCTAAATGCAAACCTTCCTAAATGCATGTTTTAGGCTAGTCTATACATGTTGCATTTATGGAGGTTTGACTATATTTATATTGCTTATATATATTTTTTGTTATTTTTTTGTATATTTTATAATATAAATATAAATAATAATTATATTTATTACAAACTTTATATCTATACTTTTATTTTTTAAAATATATTATTTTTGATATAAAGTTATATAAAAATTTTTTAGTTTCTATAATATAAAATTATTTAAGCAGACCTGGCTAGCTAACTTTTTTTAAATTTTATATATAAAAATTTTGTAAAATTTTTTAAAAATCTACCCAATTATTAAAATATATAAAAAAATTTTTTACAAATTTTCAAATTTTGATCTAAACAGATTATAAAAATCAAAATTTTTTATATAGTCTAATTTTAATTTTTTATTTATAAATATATTATTCTAATTTTTATTATTATATATATTAATAAAAGATAGTTATATTTATAATATCATATTATATAACATCTTTATACTATATTTTAGAAATATACTAAATAAATAAATATAGGCATTTTAAATAAAAATATTCAACACTTTTATTATATTATCAATAATCAAACAAATCAATTCTTTTTAACAATTATTTAAACTAAAACTATACCAAAAACAGATTGAAAATTCAAGATCTAAAGCTTCAAAATACTTGTGAATCTTATTAAATACTGTTATTGATGAAGACTTTATATATAAAATACTAAGAAGTGAGTATATCTATGCTAGTTTGTGTTTAGGGTTAAGCTTTTCTTCTGAAGTAGACACCTCTTTACATATTTGGCGCCCAAGTTAGAAGATTTATTTTAGTAACAGTAGTAATAAAAAACTTTTGATACAAGTATTTAATAGCTTTAATATGATAAACAACAACTAGAAATACTCTCATTATTTTGATATTTACAAATATAAAATATTTTTCTTTTAATACTTTTGGCTATAATTTTAAACAAAAAGTAGAGAATTTGACAAACCTCTTCTAAAAGATTGATATTGTTTACCACTTCTATATAATAATAAAAAACTATATAATAACAAACTAACATGTATAAAATAGATGATGCTAGTGAATTTTAGTAGTCAGGTTGGGTACTTTGATAAAATATCGTAAGCTTTTGTATATTTAATAAAAGTGATAAACAAGAAGACTAGCTTTGACTATAAAAAAAAACTAAATATAAGTTAATTTTTGTCTAGAATATAATTTAAAATATAGTTAGTATATCAATATTTAAAATGAATTAAATAAATAGTATAGTTATTAAAAAAAAATAAAAGACAAAACCTTTTAGTTTCATATTTAATACTAATTTTTGTCTTTTAATTTTGGATTAAGAATATACTTCTAGTAAATCAAAGTACTTACTTGTTTAAACTTTTAAAAAATAAGTTGATGTTTTTTAGTAAATTTTTGTATTTATCACTATGCTAGTTAATTTTGGTTATACTATAGTTTTGATGTGATTTAATTTTAGTTATAAATTTCTTATCAGTGATAATGTATTTTTTCAAAATACTTAATAAAGTATATACTTTGTATATACTAGCTTAAAATTATTAGTAGTAAAATACATTTGTTATATTTAAAGTATTCTTTAATACTAATAAATTTAAACCAATATATGCAAAATACTGTATACGCTATTAAAAAAATTTTTTTGTTGTCAATTATTTTGAAAACTATAACATACAACTCGATATATTAGTAAATTTATTATATTCAAACATATACGTAAGAATTTATAAGCTATAATATTGGATTAAGAACAATAGCTTTTAAAACTTATATGGCTGTTGAATATATTACATTTTGAAATTTTATGTTCCCTATTAAAAACACGGTTTAAAAAATTTTTAACGTTAGTAGAGATTTATACAAAAAAAGTTTTTATGATAAACAAAACTCAACATTACTTTTCATGTGAACTGTAATTAAATTATATTCTTTTAAATTTTTTTACGTTAGCCAAATTGAATAAATCGAATCCAACTAAAATTCGAAAACGACTTAACCAAGTTACGGAATTTACTTAATTTCAATTAAATTTGTAGTTTGTATTAAAGATTTTATTTCCTATTTACATAATAATTTTTTTATACAAAGACACAAGTATAGTCCTTTCATTTCAAACAAAAGAAAAATACAGGATCGATAAAACAAGAGAGAACTGGATAGAGATAAAATGTGAGCACTTAAAAGCACATTGAATGTTTTTTTTTGTGATGAATGATCTAACGATAATGATTAGAAAAAAGTGAAGATAAAAGGAGAATGTTTCAGTCAAGAAATTATAAAGTACCTTAAGTAACAAATCAAATATAAAAAGCTATAGATTCATCTTTTTCTTAATCGTTAAGAGAATGCACAGGTACTGCCTAGCACATTTCAAAACAGCAGCAGGAGAATTATTTGGATTACTACAAAAGTAACCTCTTTCTTTACGAATTAAATTCGGACGTTCTTGGTCTAATCGTACGTTTATATCCTTAACCTGACTATTTGTTGATACGAAAGAATGGATGGCATCACGTGACTTACGTCGCCGAACGTAAAATTCACGAAACCGATAACTGGTAAATACCTACATATACTCTATCCCATCATCACTAAAAGAAACAAACTCTATAGTTTCATTAGGTTTTCCCTGTAATCTTTTTATTGCGTATTCTTCAGCATCGCCATTTTGCCAACCACGACATTTTTTTCCTACACGATAAGCAGCAGTTGATTCAATCATCTTATCCTAATAAATTTAATAAAATTTTTTTAAAAAGATTAATCAAAAACAGGAGGTTTAAAAACAAAAGGTATTGTAGAAGGAGCACATACACTCATCGAAAGTTTAGGTTTTGATTTAATGCGTTTTGAATGGCGTTCCGAAGGAAAATAATCTATAGACTTTATCCATTCTTTTTGTCGATTTGGACCTAAAGGAGAAGGAATATCTGGAGCGCAAGAGTTTTTTTTTTCTAAAAGGGATTAATAAAGATGCATGATTAAGATTGACGAATAATAAAAATGCAAAGAGAGACTGTGTAACGAGACGAATGCGAAAAAGGCAACGTAAAACGTACGAAGTTTCTTTAAGGTGAGCTCAGAACGGACTAGTACATGAGGTTTATCAGATAAAGATCTTGCCATTGGAAATTCGGATGGAACAAAAGAATCAGAATGAAGAGGGATGTCAAACAAACTATTTAGAGCAATAAAATAGTGAGAAAAAGTTATGAGCAAAAACCACAAGCGTATATATATATATATACAAAATCCAACGTAACGGAGAATACATAAAACACAAAGACGTATTGTAAGACAAACCCTGCATATAAAAGGGCAAGTAGCCATAAATAGATAAAATACTCACTAAGCATTAAAAGTTCCATTATTCCCACCATTGACAACACTGCTTAACGCCGAGGAACCATTCTTAGAAGAGGTTTTACAATTTTTTCTAAGCCCATTACTTTTTCTGGAGATAACATTGAGTATTTTTGATTTTAAATCAGATGCAATACCACCGATTACATTTACTAGAAACCATACGCAAAATTTTATTACAAAGGCACATGAACAAAACGCTGATAAAACACAAAATGTCATGATGGATAGAATGATTACAGAAATTGCGTATAGTTTGCTATTGGAGATTGTCGTAGTTTTTAATGGAGACATTGTTCTCTTTATCTTTTTAGGGAAAAAACTGATGAACGTATAAGCCGTCAAAAAGCCGTCAAAAGCCGTTAAGGATTATGGACCGATCGACAAGATATATATAAATGCTCAGGTAAGAGAATATGATTAAAACTTGACGTCTTTTTTTTTTTTTTAGAGAAGTATTTTCGTGGAGTGCATTTGTCAGTTGATATAGTAATAATCGCGAGAGTTATTAAAAACGTAAAGATGTTAACTATATACTTAATAATGAAATTATTAATAGTATTATTATTTTATGTACGAGAACAATCGATGTTTCATAATCAATGCGTTTTATAAAATTAAAAGAAACTCAATTCGGTATTATTAAATAATACATTCTTCTCAAAGGACTTTTTTTTAGTTGAAAATCCAATTGGATATTTATTTATTAAAAAATAATGGTACATGTGATTCGGTGAAACAATAATGAACCGTCAGTCATTGTAGCATGATATTGCACAATAAAACATAATCATCATACTTGTAATACTAGTAATACGTATTTTATTTAAAAATATATAAATTATATGAGATGCCGGATTAACTCAAAGAAAAACGCCACACTTGCATTTTACAAAAGTTACGTATAATTCAATCCCTTTTTCAGAGTTCTTGGATGAATGTGAGAATCAGAACAAAATTTTTTTTTTTAAAGATATGCAAGTCTTAAAGGAAGTCTTAAAGATAGTCATTTACTTATGTAAGTCTTAAAGATAGTCGTTTACTTATGAAAAGATCAACAAGCTAAGTCTTTACACGGACATAAATAAACAGAATTGGAAAATTCAAACCAGAGGCCAATACAAAAAAAGTTAAAAGCGTAACACACGTCACAAAGAGAAAACGAATCCCAATAATGGATCATGGAACGCCATCATTTTCGTTTTAGACTATTATGTTACTATAATTACTATAATCATTACACAAAAACTCCGTCCATTTTTTCGAGTAACGGTAAGACGACATTTGCCGCTTGATTTTTATCAAGTTTCAAATTTTCATATAAAATGAATGCATTTACTGAGGATTACAGGATTACAGGATTACTGAGGATAACTTAATATTGTTTAACTAGGACCTCCTAATCTTGATATTGATGTAATTATTGGCTGTGTGTGCGTTTCTTTTGTGAGAAAATCATGTTTCATGTTAGCATACGTAGCGATAACGGATTTCAAAATCAAATCTCAAATAAGGAAACTCTTTGCTTATTAACAATGCTGATAATGTATTGCTGCATGTGATTAATATCATTCATTTATTTTTAGCATTATTAAAAAATTCTTATACGTATCTCAATTACTCTAAACTCACATTGCCTACGTATTATTTCACGCGTCTCGATTAAGTGATCATCTCATCAATCGTATACTGATATTCATCAAGGGGTGTTTATTACAATGATTGTCTACTTAATGTGTTATTCGAACTTGCCGCATTTACTAATTTTCACTCATCTTTCCTGGCGATCCTTTTAAATTTTGATATTTTGTCTTCTAGCAAAGGTTTCGCAATGACTATGTGACTAAGTTTAACAATTTTTCTTTATTTTAATTCTACAATCTTGTAGAATTGAAATAAAAAAAGGTTTGTTGACTTTGACCTGGTAGTTATCGAGAAACATTGATTTAAAGTTTTAAAAAAATCATGAAAATCAATGGTGGGAATAATGGAACTTTTAATGCTTAGTGAGTATTTTATCTATTTATAGATAACTATCGAACAAAATTCGATAAACCTTTTTTATCGAATTTGGATTGGTAGTTATTGAGAAATATTGATTGAAAGTTGAAAAAAAATTTAGTCGCAGCTTCTTTTTTTTACAGATGCCTAAACTTGGAACAAGCAGTCGAATTTGATCAGGCATGTGCTGAGTAATCTTCATTCAAAATTTAGATACCTTTAAAAAAGAAGCTGTGGTCAAAAATTTTAAATTTAAATGAATATTTCTCGACAACCAGCTAA